AAAGAAATCTACAAGGACTTATGGGTAATGAAAGCATATTCTTTGCATTAGATTTATAAATTTATAAAATTCCATAAAATAATGCCTTCATAACATTTACTGTTTACCAGCACACACATCATTATTATATTATTTTATTACTTTTTGATTTTTTTTTTCTACTTTAATTTTTGTATCAGGTGATGTACATGACATACAAAGTATTCTAAATATTTGTGTATTAAAAGTTAAGAAACATTGACACAATTATCATCCTACTTTTTTATTTCATTTCTGAAAAGTAAATTTCATTTTACCAAATTACAAATTTTGCAACAATTAAAGATATTTTTTAAAATTACTATATAAATGCATACTAGACAATCTGTGTGTCATTAACGAGACATCATATCTTAGAAAGTACACTGGTGATGATTTCTTCTGTCTTACCTCCCAGTCTATTGTTGCAAAGAATGAATGTCTTTTGATCTCCTCAATGCCGTTAGAACCAGCTCCCAGTCGATTGGTTGGATTTCTCTTGAATAATTGCCGTAATAAACTCTGTGCTTCTGGACTTAGAAACTGAGGCATCCCTAACTTGGCTCTAAAAAAAAACAAATCGATAGTTAATAAGACATCCTTAACATAAATAAGAATGAATGCTGAATTTGTTCCAGAATTTTTTTCACGATTGGAAAAAGAACTTGTTTGTAAATCGCCAATTTATTGTTGTACTAAATTGTTGCTAAATTACCCATCAATATCTATCATATTTATTACAATACTTAAAGGTGATGAAAGTATTTTATTTATCTTGGTAAAAATATTCAAATGCTATACCCTTGTGAATCAACTTGTGGCATGGCACACAACATGCAACACTGACAAAATACCATCCAAGATGGCGGATGTATCCAGGCAACAGCATTAAATGTTCAAGTGAAAGTGGTACAACGGTTTCAGAGAATAAAAACTTACTTCAGAATCATAGTCATTGTTTCTTTTCTGTGTTGACCTTGGAATGGTAGTGTACCTGTTAACATTTCAAACTGAAAAAGAGAAAAAAATATAGATACATTTCACCAGTATGTAAATTTGTAAGAAGCACTGAATCAGTTACTGAACTACTAATGTTCATTGGATAACTTAATAGGTAACTTTTTGTAACACTGATGTTGATTGGATAACAAATACAGCGAGTCAAACAGTGTTGTTGATTGGTTATCTTACCATGAGGACGCCAAACGACCACCAATCAGCGGCCGTTGTGTGACCTCTTCTATTAACTACTTCTGGTGCCATATATTCTACTGTACCACAAAAAGAATATGCTTTTTTATCTTCTAATATGGCTTCTTTACTAAGACCAAAATCTGTGAGATTAATATGGCCATGGCTATCTAAAAGTATACTGTAGGAAAGACAAAGAAATAATATCCATATCAATAAGAATCTTGCACATCTTAGTTAGATGAAAATATATAAACTTAGGGAGACTATGATGTAAACAGACTCCCTAGTAAAATCCTCAAAACAGGTTAGTACATGTGAGCAGTACTGCACAGAACTGTACTCAAGAAACATGTCAGACACTCCTAAGTACTACAAGAGAGTTGTTCGACGTGCATTTCAATTCTCTGAAGCCTCCTGGCCACACCCTTTCTCCTGACATAAAATGTTACACAATTGTGTAGGCTCCTTGAGAAACATGAAGATGTACACTAGTTTATTTGTATTCCAAACTGATTCTTGATGAAATACATTCAATGTATTTTGTTTTCAATCTATTTGAGTCATTTCCATCATACTACATACAACACACACAATATACAACATATGCTGGAAAGAAAAACACACTGCTGCAGTGAGGTTGGGGAGCAGAATCAACATTGTTTACAAGTGGATGCAGTGAGCATTTTGGAATATGTTGCAAAGTGGGATGCAGTAAGAATTATGGGTAATGTTGCATTGTGGGATACAGTAAGCATTATGGGTAATGTTGCATTTTGGGATGCAGTAAGACGCATGGGTGATGTTGCATTGTGGGAAATAGTGCATTTGGATCATGAATAAATTTGCAGTGAGAGTAATACTAGTAATCTATAATATAACAGAGTAAAGAATACAAATGTTGGTAATGAATAAACTTACTTTTCTGGTTTAAGATCTCTATATATAATACCTAGGCTATGAAGGTGGTCTAATGCCAACGCCAACTCTGCAAGATAGAACTTCACATCTTCCTCTGTGAACATCACCTGCCATACAAACAAATTAAACAAATGAGAATACCAGGACGCAATGCATGATGGTATTAATATAATTAGTTTAATTTCCGAAAAGTTTAACATTTTATGTTAGACATGGTAAAGAATCCTTTGATGATACAAAGTCCCAGGTATGATATTCTTAAACAGATCAAAGAACTTCATAAAGAACGGTTTCAGTAACACTACTATGGTATATCAACTCAACTGTCAGAATTATCAAAACAAGTCAGGGCGCCCTCAACAGGTGAACAATTACTTACCTCTTTTGACAGTCTAGTAAATAAATCTCCGGCTCTCAGAAAATCTAGTATAAGGTATAATTTACCTTCCGTTTGAAATGCTGCCAACAAAATAAATAAATAAATAAATAAATAAATGCTATTATTGGCGTTATCTGTATCTTCACAGAGTGACATAATCCATCTTGAGTTCCACATGCGTCATTCGAAAAGCATTCTGACCATTAGCAAGGCAGCAACTATCGCAAAACTCTGACAAGATACATGCTGTTGTTGCCAGCTGTTCGTAAATATTCAGACCAAAATTACGCTTTCAATACTTTAATATGCAACCTTGAGTGAAATTATACAAGGATAGTTCGTCATCTTTTTATAATATTTGGCAATCCAAAAACATTGTGCAAAAAGTATTTGGAACCGAAAACAAAAGTGGAGGCCAGCGCACTCTGTCTGACTAGCATGTGTAATTGAAATGAGTAAGTGCTCGCTGTGCAAAGGTAAATACAGGGCAGATAAAAAGTCCCTATTACCACAGCATGATAGCACACATTACAAAATATTTTTACTGTAAGTGACAACACAGGATTGTTTAGCGATTCAGCTTTCAATTCAGTCTGATAACTACAAAGCATAGACAAATTATGTGTTCAATTTTTCCGAATAATTATTCATTCGCTTATAAAAAATGAGCTGACAATCTCGTCATGAATAACAGGAAATTTCAGCAAAATCAGCAAACATGGGAATCCAATTGGTTGTACCGCTCACATTGGAACTAATTCATGTAAACTAAAGTTGCATGCAAGGTGCTCGTGGTGATTTAATTTTATAGTTTTACATTCCAGTGCTTCATTTTTTTTAAACTTTAGAATAAGCACATAATAAAAATATAATCCCCTATTTTCTTTTTGTTGAAGTCAAACAGACACACCAGAATAGTGGAACTAATTTCAGACTACGGTTGTAATAGCTTATAAAGATTGCACAAATTCAAATATAGAGGAACTATTTGGCGGAAGGTTACAAACAATAATGGCAGTGAAAGAGTTTATCATGTGTTAAATTTGATACCATGGTTACTGTCCAGACACATCAAGAAGATGGTAAAAAAATGCTGTCAGCTAAGTGGTAACAATATTTCCAATTTGGTATGATATGACCAGTTACCATGGATACGGTAATTAACACCATTTGGATGGCATATGCAATCACTCACCATAATGAAGTTTAACTATAAACGGGTGATTCACTTCAACTAGAATGTCTCTTTCCATCTTGGTACGCACTCTGTCTCGTACTGTGAAATGGATACACAAGGTATTAAAATTGACAACACTGACAGCTTACAAACACAAGACAAATGGTAAAATATTATTGTGTCAGTTTTTACTTTGTGTAGATATTTTTATTATGACAGACAGTATTTAGTGACAAATACAGAAGTCATCTGGCTGAACCATTGCGACTGAAGCTACCTACTGAGAACGGCCTTATTTCTTAAGAATTTAGTTTCGCTGAAACAGTAAGTTGAGTTGACAGAAGTGAATTATTTTCCTCATTAGTCACAAATTTATGAAAATTAGTACATTCATTGATACTCCTTTTCATTAAAAATAACATGCATTACATTGCATAGGCCATTATGACGATAAGCCACCGAGGGCGCTCTTCAATTACCTTTTAACGTTGCTTTCCTTAATACTTTCATGGCATATAGAGTACCACTGTCTTTACCACAGATTTTACGAACCAGGAATACCTGCAAGTATTGACAAAAGAATTTCAGTTATTAGCGAACATAATTAGTAATATCACAACTATGTCATACTATCAGTAGGAATTCATAATACTACATACATTATAACAAAACTATGTAACAAGAGAAAAATTAAATCTCTCTACACAGGTGTCAGTTTCACAATAATAGTAATATATTGCCATTCATGGATATGAACACAATTGGTGAAGCACTGAGTAGAATTTTTGTGAATGTGAATTTGTTAAAAAAATAGAAAGAGTAAAAACAGTATGATCTAATATACGTATATGAAATGTGGGTCAGTCCATAGACCCTCTAAAAGACTGCCTTATGACTGCCCAATCGAATTTCGATTTTCTAGAGATGGAGGAAAGGGGGTGGCAAGTTGTAACTTTTTGCATAAGGTGTATATTGTCTTGCAGGAAGCATTGTACACATTGATTCAAACCTTTGAAATGAATGCTGTAAATTTTTCTGACCAAAGTTTCACTTTGCACATTGTTGTGTATTTTTTCTATAATTTCTTTTGTTAACTTTGGACTGAATGGACATGTTTTCTAAATGGCTCTAGATGTTTGTAATAAAATTTGCAAAACAGTCAGGAAAAATTGATGTAGCTTTATTTTGCTTTACTTTTATTTTCTGACACTGAGACATTCAGCAAGTTTAATTTTGTTTGACAGGGAACTCAGATTTGATGATTTGGGAAAGTTAATATAAAGCAAATACGACTATGGAATTTTGATGACTGTTTGAAGAAACTTCAATCGACATAAAATCAGATCCAGTTGTAATCAAATGAAAGAGACAAACCATTTGACAATGAGATATCGGTGACACAGACGGAAAAAAGATCTTGGCAGAAGATTAAAGACAATCAACTCATTTCATTGAGTGACATAAATGGGAGAAACAATAAATATGAATAATATTAACTTGCTAGCTTGCAAAGTGGACACTCACTCAATGCAAACCACTTGTGTATTATTTCGAATATTTCTGTTCAGCAGTTCAATAATGCCTGATAATGTCCACTTTTATAGCTGAATTTGTCTGTGCATTTTTTTTATAATTTCCTTATTATTTTTGAAGCAAATGGATGTAGTTTCCCATTACCCACTGATCAACATTTCTTAAAAAACAAAATGGAGCGAATAATTCTAATTTCCAACCTGGCTGATGGTACAGTGGTTGGCTCATTTGCCTTACATCAGAGAGGTTCTGGGTTTGGTCCACCAAGTCAACTGTTTACTCAACAGTATACATTGCCGGAAATAGACAATAGAATCTGGTCAAGTAGAGATTTCCTGTCTATCCCATTGCAGTGACTATAATTACATGCAAAATTATTCAAGACAACAGATGATGTCATAGACTTTTAAGGTCTATTGTTTAGCCTAATTGAGAGTATATTGTTATGTTAAGTAGTTCACAGCTTGGGGTTGGAAACAATAGTAAGTGAGGTAATCTTTTGTTTCCTTTGTTCTGTGTCCACTTGTATTTGTTAGCTGATCATATGAAGCCATGTAATAAATGGTGTTAGTTGCCAGAGGACAATATACCCTTAGGTACACTCTTAAGATGGCATTGAAGACAGCCACTCGTTATATACTTAAGGATGCGGTAGAGTTATTTTCGTGAATTTTGCTTTTTTTGTTATTACTTTTGTAAAGTTATTGGGCTCATAATTTTATCAAAATTAAAACTGAAACACATCTAGAATACCCTTTTTTTTTAAAAAAAAATAAGAAAAACTACTTGTATAACGGGATACTGTACAATTTGTTTTTGAGATAAAAGTCTGGACGCAAACAATAACA